AAATGACTTGTTTTCCTGTGGTAAATCTCCAATAGTGGGATTGCTGGATCAAATGTTAGGTCTACTTTTAGTTATTTGAAGAATCTCCATAGAACTTTCTATAGCGGTTGCACCAGTTTGAAGTCCATCCAGTAGTGTGTAAGTGTTGCTTGTTCTCTGCATCCATGCCAGCATTCATTTTTTAAGAACTTTATGATAAGAGCTATTTTTTTATAGTTAGCAGATATCATATTGTGGTTTTGATTTGTATTCCTCTGATGACCAGTGACATTGAACATTTTTCATATGCTTATTAGCTATTAGTCTGTCTTCTTTCAGAAAGCTTCTGTTCATGTCTTTTACCCACTTTTTCATGGAGTTGAACTTTTCTTGCTGATTTGCTTGAGCTTTTTGAAGATTCTGGTTATTAGCTCCTTATTAAATATATAGCATGTGAATATTTTCTCCCATTCAGTAGACTGTCTATTTGTTCTGTTGATTATTTCCCTGGTTGTGAAGAATACAGCAGAACCTCCATAGTAGACCACATCTCTGCACTGACCACCTCTTAAGTTGACATAATTTTCATAGACCAGACATGTACTCAAGACCACATGTACTTAGTGGGAGACTGACCTCTTTATATTGCTGACCTCTGTAAGTTGTATTTTGACCCTTTGGATGGTGACACACAATATTAAAATTTACCCTCTGTAACTTGACTGTTGAGTCAACTCTGCACCAAGGGGTAGAAGGTGTGGGTTTTTACTCTTAATTTTTTTCTTTAGAATAAGTTCTTTTTCTTATATTTTATCATCACCATGTATTGGATTAAGTCTAATGTCCTGTTATTTGTCATTTCTTGTGGAATATTTTTTTTCATGTGAAGAACTGGTCTGAATTGAAGATATACCTTATAATTACTAAAAAATTTAACAGTTAATTTAAACATCATGGCCCAAAGAAAATGCTCAAAGAGCTGACATTGAAGGAATAGGTTGATATTCTGTATTTTCTAGACCAAAGCAAAAGAAATGTGGTAGAACAATTTGATGTTAGCAAGAACATAGTAACATTTGGAAACATAAACATATGTAAACATAACATAAACATATGTACTTGGAGAGATATGGTAAGGAAAGTGGAGACCTACAGCTGACAAAAAAGAAAATTTCTCTCAGTGAAGTCAGTGAAGCCACACTAAACTGGTTCAAACAAATGAGGGCAGGAAACACCCAAATCTCTGGGTTTATGATCCAAGAAACTGCTAAAAAATTTCACATAGGAATTTAGGGTGTGGATTTCAAAGCATCAAAGTGTTAGCTCAAAAAATTTAAACTTAATCACAAGATCTCCCAGAAAGTTTTCTGTGGTGAATTCAGAGAAGTTCCAGTAGAAGTTAGCTTCAAAAATGATGACATGTTTAATGCCGGCAAGTGTGGACTCTGTCTCAAGGTAATGCCTGACAGGAGCCGTGTCATTAAGGGTGACAAATGTAAGAGTAGAAAACTTTCTAAAGGATATTTCACAGTTCTGCTTTGTACTAGCTCAACTGGACAGAAAATAAAAGCCATTGGTGTCTGGTAATTGGGCAAAGCCATGCACATTTAAGAACCATGAGCCCAAATATCTCCCAGTTACTTGGAATTCAAAAAAAATGTGCATGGATGACTGTTGCCCTATTTGAAGAATGGGTAATGGGAATTGACCAAGAAATAAGGAAGAATAAGTGGTCTATTCTACTGAGAGTAGACAACTATCCTGCCCACCTATAAGTAAAGCATCTTACAAATGTGACACTAAAATTTCTGCCTCCAAACGTAACCCCAGAAATCCAACCTCTTGATCAAGTCATCATAAAATATTTAAAATGTACTCCTGAGCCCAGTTCCTGCAGTCAGAAGTTACTAAAACACAAACCTGTGGTCTGCCTGTAGAAGCAACTTCATCTGTTGCATCAGTTAACACTCTGGACCAGTTGTTCCCAGAATAAAGTTCAGCCACAAACAGTACAGAAGTATTTCAAGAAAGTTGGATTTGTCACACCCCAAGAACACAATACAATGTGCTGGTTCTATTTGTCAGTCCCCCATGGGAGAATTCAAAGGAGTAGATTTTGAAGGTTGTATTGCAATGGATGAGGAGGAGGCAGCCTGTAGCGAGCCTGACCCAGAAGCAATTTTCCAAACAATATTGACTAGAGTACAAACCAGTATTAAAGCACAAGAACCAGCTGATGAAATGGAAGTAGTGAGTATGACATAGAAATTACAGAGCAAAAGCAGAAGATGCTGTGGGAAAATGCCCAAGGGTGCTGAGTGGTATAGCTGTTGTTGAGTGTTTTCTCCACTTATGTTTATAATAAAAATAAGAAAGGTCATAATAAGAGCCAAGATTGACTCTCTCTTTTTTTGTGTGTGTGTGTGGTTTTTGGTCAGGGCTGGATTTGAACCCGCTACCTCCAACATATGGAGCCAGTGCCTTACTACTTTGAGCCACAGGTGCCGCCCAACTCTTTTTTTGTTTTTCAGAAAGAATGTTTAAACTATGCGAGCACAGTAAATGCATGGATTTTATATGATACTGTATGTATCATCTTACTGGGTTTTGACTGTATGTGATTTTGAATGATATTCTCTCATCAAAGGTATTCAACAAAGCAAAGTGTAAACATATACTGTGTTTCCCCAAAAATAAGACCTACCCCCAAAATAAGCCCTCATGGATTTCTATGCATTTGTTAAATATAAGCCCTACCCCAATAATAAGACCTAGTGATGCATTTGGGGGCTGAGAGGAAGCCATCTCCTGAAAATAAGCCCCCCAAATAAATATTAGACAGTGAGAAACATATATATCTCATGTTTCCCTGAAAATAATATATATCTGGTAGGCCCAGTTGCTTATATTAATCATCTCCATATGCTGACCAGATTGTTTCAGTCTCTTGGGTTGTCAGCTTACAGAGGTTCTTCTGTATTTTTAATTAATGAAGTCTCATTTTTATTTATTTTTGTTGTTGCTATGATTACCCTTGGTGTCTTCTTTCTAAATTCTGTGCCCAGACCATTCTCTGTAAGTTTTTCCAACTTTTTCTTCTAGAATTCTTACTGTGTCATGTCTTAGATTTAAGTCTGTTATGCATCTTGACTTAATTTTTGTGAGTGGTGAGTGATACAGATCCTGTTTCAGTCTTCTACCTTTGACTACCTAATTTTCTCAACATAATTTATTGAATAAGGATTCTTTCTTCAGTGTATATTGCTGTTCACTTTATCAAAGATCAGATGGCAATACGGGAATGACTGTATGTCTGGGATCTCTGTTCTGTTGCATTTGTCAATGACTCTTTTTTGTGTGTGAAAGTGCCATGCTATTTTGGTTATAATAGCTTTGCAATACAGTTTAAAGTCTGATAAAGTAATGTCTCCAGATTTATTCCTTTTGCTTAATGTTGCTGTGGCTACACTGATTCTTTCCTCATGCCAAATGAAGCATAGGATTATTGTTTCTAGCTCTGCAAAAAATGACTTTGGCATTTTGATGGAGATTCCACTAAATCTATAAATCACTTTGGGTAATATGGTCTTTTTAACAATGGTGACTGTGCTGATCAATGAGCTTGATCTGTTTTTCCATTTGTTTACATAATCTACATTTTCCTTTCTCAGTGATTCATAATTCTCTTATAGAGATCTATCACCTCTTTGTATAAATATTTTCCTAGGTATTTTGTTTTCTTGGTGACTGTTGTTAAAGGTCTTGAGTCTTTCATTGGATGTTCAGCTTGACTGTTGCTTATTTATAGGAATGCTACATTGATTTTATAACCTGGGGCTTTTCTGAATTTATCAATTACAGGAGTCTCTTGGAAGAATCTTTGGCTTTTTCTAGATATAAGCTCATATCATCAGAAAAGACTGACAGTTTGACCTCCTCCTCCCCCATTTAGATACTATTGATTTCCTTCTCTTGACTTTTAAACACCTTTTTTACCAGAAAAAATTGTATGTGACTAACTTAAATTGTTTAAACTACAGTTCGATAACTCTGTTCTTCCTGGTACATGTTTTTTCTAATACATTCAAAATTTCCTTTACTTCAAATAAGCTTTTTTTGTTTTGTTTTTGTTTTGAGACAGAGTCTCACTCAGTCACCCTTAGTAGAATGCCATGGCATCATAGCTCACAGCAATCTCAAACTCCTGAGCTCAAGCAATCCTCCTGTCTCAGCTGCCCAGGTAGCTGGGACACACATTCCCATCACAATGCCTGGCTATTTTTAGAAGGGCAAGGGTCTCATTTTTGCTCACACTAGCCTCAAACTCCTGAGCTTAAGCAATCTATCTGCCTTGGCCTCCCAAAATGCTAGGATTACAGGTATAAGCCACTGTACCTGGCCTCTAAACAAGTATTGATTCAATTCTAAGTAAATGGTTTGAGCAGAATAATTGGAAATGTAAGTAAGTAAACTGACATGAAGTGGTTTGGAGATTGAGATTACTTTGATGTCAGTGTTGAATTCAATCTGAATGGATTTTTGTTGTATGGACCTATTAGGAGCAGCTTTGCATTTGATCAACAGCTTCCCCTATTGAAAAATATTTTACCTGGCAAATATACTAAATTTTAATACAATTTAAAAGTCAGATAAAGTAGAGACAACATGCAAACATAATAATTTATGTTTTTGTCTCATGAGTCATAGAATATAAATAGTTCTTCTTTGGTTTTAACAAAATAAGTAAAATATTTATTATGTAAATGCCCAGAAAGTAGTAGCTTATTATATACTATTTATAAAAAGAAATACCATTGAACTATTCAATGATGTTACAAAAGAGTGCCTTTTTACATGGGAAATGTTAAAAATTATTCCTTTTTTTTGAGATAGAGTCTCACCCTGTCGTCCTCAGTAGAGTCCCATGGTGTCACAGTTCACAGCAACCTCCAACTCTTGGGCTTAGGCGATTCTCTTGCCTCAGCCTCCCAAGTAGCTGGGACTACAGGCATCTGCCACAATGCAACAATTTTGTTGTTGCAATTTGGCTGGGGCTGTGTTCGAACCCACCACCCTCAGTATATCGGGCCAGCGCCCTACTCACTGAGCCACAGGTGCTGCCTGAAAAATTAATTTTTAAGTAAAAAAAACAAATTTTAAATAAAATTGCTTGGATAATCCTTTTTTTGTTGTTGTAAGGTAAAATATTCTTCACATATACACAATAAAATATTTAAAGTGGTTATTTCTAGGTAATAGAAAGCTAATGGAATCATTTTTGCTTTGATTTTTTTATGAAATAAAAAATCACTTAAGTAGTACTTGTAATTAAGCAAAAACATTAAAATTCACCATCAAAATCTGTAGAAGGGCCTGAGACTCCACCCAGTTATTATGGATAGGCTGCTTGCTGATGCCCTGGTGGGTGCAGAGATTGTATCTTGCTCATCATGATGGGCCTAGTATGGGAGATAGCACCTGGGCTAAAGTGGATCCTCAGAAAACATTTGCTGAGTGATGGGGAATGTTTGCAGTTTATAAATGAATGTCATGAAGGTCAATGAGGTAGTAAATGAAAAGTAATAAAATGTTGCTTGTGGTGGACTCCACACACGTCCCAAGGCTGTTTGTCTCTAACAAGATAGGTGATGTACTTTGTGGACATCTAGGACAAATTGTCCTTTCAGTTTTTGAGCCTCAAATTCCAGAAATCTGACCCAGATATTCACTGATATTACACAAATCATGCAGAGTCAAAGTCTAGTGTGAAGTGTTTTGGAAATTCAGAAATTAACATTTTTCACTTCTTTTTTGGTCTGTTTGTTTTTAGTCAAATTCCGTGAAGATCTTGGTAAGTTCTGTTTCTCTTCTATGCTAAATTGAAAATAAAGCCTATGTTCACTTAGAATACTTATCTCTTTCTGTGATTGGTTGCAGATTCAAGAAGTTTCCTATGAGCAGAGGGTAAGTGAAGTCAAGATTCTCATCTTAGACATGGCATGCACCATTACCTACAACAAACCCTGCCCAGCCATGCAGTTAACCCTGAATGTCTCCCTTTATTTGTAGGTCTGAACAGTGCTTGAAGATTTTCAGGCAAATGCAAAGTGAATAATGTGTTATGTAGTTAAGAATGACTTGACACTTGTTATCTAATCTCTCTGGGATTCTATGGTCAAAGTAAAAGGTTTTGCCCAAATAATCTCTGAGACATTTTTGAACTCAGAAAATCATTTAATTCTAGATATATGGACCTAATGTTAAGTGAGAACCAAGTCACTTTAAAATGGGGGAAGTAGTGTTAGAAAAGACTGTCTGTAATGAACACACAAAGTGTGCACAGAACAGATACAACAGGATCATCTTATTCTAAAACGCACGTTCTGAAACAGTCAGAAATAAGTCTTTCCTCTAATTCTAATCCCATCAAAACCACGACTACAAGACTCTACAGAGTAAAAACTGATTCATAAGATATGGAATTTGCTTTCTTTTCTTTCTCCTCTCCTCTTGAAACCTCAGGTCTTCTAAGTCTGTCAGATAATTATCGTCTGTGTGAACATGTGCTGAAGTTTCTACTATCTGGAATAAAAAGTAAAGAACAGCCACCTCTTTTGATCTAATTTCTCCATGTGACTGCAGTCTCCTTTATCTTTTCTTTACAGAAAAACCTCAATAGTTATGGATCCTAATTCTCTTTAATTTTTATTATCCCATTTCTCTCCATCTCTGCTAGATAAAGACTTAAATGCTAAAAATAATCTTCATGGGTCTGACTTGTTGCCTTTCTAACTACATCTCCCTCCTTTCCCCTCTCTTACTCTCCTTCAGCTACACTGGCTGTTTTCTTGCACTCTGAGTGTATTGAACATGTTCCTTACTGTGCTTTGCACATGACAGTCTCCCTGATGTTTCTCTGTCCCTCTGTTATGCTTTTCACTCTACATAGTGCTTATCATACTAAGTATTCTTAGTGTAGATAGTGAGGATATATTTTGTGATGTGAAGTTGTGGACTATTATTATAAAGCAGTGGCCTTAGAAACTCTGATATACTGTGGATCAGTTTCACAGATGAAATGAGTTGGTGATGTTTTCCTGCAACAAAATAATTCAGATTTGTGATTGGAATGGCATCATAGGCAATGCCATAGAGCTGATATATATATTACCTCTGTATTTATGAGAAGGACTTTTGATTTTCATCTACTTTG